ACCAATAAAGTGGTACCAGCAGGCGCCTAACTAAACCGTTTCAACTGACCAAAATAAGAGTTGAAGGGGTGCGTTCGCTATCCGATCTGAATAGAAGACCTGATTCATGAAGGAGTCTCGTCAGTTACGCGTTACCGGTCCAACAGGGATGCATAATTACCAAAAGGACTTCTTCAGTCCTACCTCACCAGCGATTCTCAATTGTCGATTTGGGGTTCACGTGCTGATGCTGATATTCAGAGTTTAACTGAAGCAACGAACGAATTTGGAAAGAAATTTAGTTTTCACCCATCTTTACTTCGTTGAATGTACGAGGAACCATTCCGAATAAGAGAGAAGTCCTTGGCTTGATTCATATCGACTGGGTCGTGAGAGTCGATGAAATGCCCCAATCGTTCATTATCCCAGACAGTGGCGTAACGAGAGAGGAGGGTTCACCTCCCACAGGTTTGGATATTCCCCCGAACTCTGGTCTAAACGGATTCTCCCTCCCCCTGCCCCCGCCCCCTTCCGCTTCCCGGAGAAGTGAGGGAAAGTCTAGCTCTCCCTTCGGCGAAATCCTTGCCACGACCCTAATCCTTGATCGCAGAGAGACCTGGGGATTTCCGTTCGTACCACGGTGACGTGTCTCCTGAATGACAAATACAAAGTGACCTTAAAGTCCTTATCAGCGTTCAGGGAAGTGCAGCTCCCAAACTACGGGAAACGAAGACGCGAGATTCAAACACAATATATGAGGAGCACGACGGGATGAATGAAATACGTTCGCAGGAAGGACGTCCACTGCATCCATCGTTCAATATGGCCTCCATCATGATGGATCGTAGCGTCAACAGGCCCGTAGAGAGGGAGCAATTTGCCCTGGGTCCTACGCCCGGGGGGACCCCCCCGAAGCAGACACCACCCCCCCACCCCCCTCCCGGTTTCACAGGCTCAAGGGGGCCCTAGAGATTTGCCCCGGGCTCCACAATTCATTTCGGCGACCCTGAGCGTAAATGCGTAGAAAGATTGAAACTGCGACGTATAACATCTGACGAGGAATTGCATGCAGTACCCGTCGCATCGCAGCCTGGACATCTCGAAGCGTCGTAGAGCTATCGTGATACAAGTGCCTATTTAAGAAGTCCCTTATCCTATTATTATAGGTGGCACCCTCTTCGCTTCAAAAAAGCGCAATTGCTTAGCCATGCGATTGCACTTTTTCGAACCGAACTCCCCATCGCGTGTTCTGCGTCTCGTCTGAAAGTCACGTCTCTTCTTCGCGCGGCTTGCGAGCTACTGCACTTCGTATATCAATACGGACTTACGATCATCTTCTATGTTTTTTATTTAATGTTAAATATTTTCCAAGCAAATTGAAATTTAATGTGTTCGATTGGTTAGTCTGTTCCTTTGTGCTTTCTCTCTCATTCTATGCAGAGGGTCATTTGGGTCCGTGGCGTTAAAGGCTCGATGATTTCTTTCTCAATAGTGAAGGAGGTTTTGCAATCGGAAGTTCTGGAAGGCACAAGTTCTGAGAAGGGGCTGGGCTGCTCAGCGCATTTCGCGGGAGGAATCTCTCAGGGTCATTTTTTTTTCATTCATTCATAATTCATCCTGGCGGAATGGAGGGTCGAAAGTTTCGGAGAGAGGGGAAAAGAAGTCCTTGGTTCGTGAATGAATCGGTATCGTGATGGTGGAAGGGGCGGGGGGTTCATCTCTTTTCGACCGTTTTCGTAGCTATTGAGATGCGGCACATTATTGCGCGGTCTTTCTAGCCACACGTGCGTGCATGAGGACTATTGCCCTTTTTTTGTTATCGGAGCCTCACAGCCTTGGGGCTGGTTCATCTCTCGTCGTATGTGTAATCCAAACAATGCAAGCACGAAAATGCATTGGTATTTGATATCACACTCGGGTCGATCGTGTGCCGAGATAGGAGTCCGCTCCCTTCTGAAGGAAATACTCAAGGAGTCTCTTCGAGAAGAGAAAGGAACGGACCTTGAAGTTGCGTACTTCCCCGACTTTCCGAATATCCTGTCTCAGCATCTGATAGAGGGAGTAAAAGTAGCAGAGACGGGTGAGTTCCCAGAAAGCCGGGTCTGCTTCGCGGAATCGTCGACAGAGGGAAGCATCCGTGGCTAGCATCGCATCCTCCTCATGGGCTTCAGTCCTAAACCGGCCGGCGCTCCGACAAAAACCTCCCTCGGATTTATGGACTGCTATTAATGTCCGACAGTGAGTGCATCGTTCATGCAGGACCAGATATCCAACTTTGATATCCAGTCGGTGCCTCGGAAGCAGTATATATCCGCATCATGAACTGCAACATCGCCTTCTTCTCTCTCCAAGCGTTCCTACTCGTCGTTCTAGACTCGAGCATCATCGGCACCGGTGAACCCAAGCTTCAGTGGTTCGACCGTCAAAAGAATAATCCAAGCAAGTTCTCGGAGTTCTTCAACAGTGAGGCCCCCCCTAAGCAGGTGAGCTCGACACACGAAAAAATCGTTTAACGAACGTGTTCATTTGCATATTCATCATTATCACTGCCGTAGTTGCAGTTGTGACGTAAGGAGTGAAAGAAGGGAATAGGAAAAGTTGATCGTCCCCTTGAAACTCCTCTATTGTCGCTGTTGTGATTCACAAAAAAACCTGTATCGAATTCGACCCTTTGCGATGGAATCTCTCTAGACGATATCATACAAGCCGACTTGATAAATATCCAAGGCTCTCCGATAGAAAAGAAAGGACCAGCAGAAGGATTCACTTTCAAGGCCTATTCATGCTTGCTCCGCATTTATTATGGGCCGTACGAGGTTTCTCAATCGCCCGCACTTATCCATCTGCTTTCCTCACCCGTTCTGTCCTTTTCGCACATTCCTATAAGAAGGTCCTATCCCTGCTTGTTTGAAAATCACCAGAGAACCTCAATTAAGCGATACAATTATGAGCGATGAGTGATTTTGTGTCACTCACATATGTGTACGAATTCGAGCGAGATGCTTTCTCTAGGATAGGATTTCCTCTTCTGAAAATACGTGACCCGATATCCTTAGTGAAGGCGCAAGGTGCAGCGTTGGACAAATATCCAACATGGGACACGAAGAGTTCCTTCATTCCTCAAGAGTTTCCACATTCCTCCGTATCTCCGGGACGGAACGGTCTAACCCATTTTTCATGGCCTTAGTAAATTCCGTTTTGGAGGACTTTGACGAATAGATAGAGACTGGGATACGAGAGAAGGGAGAGAAGGTGGGTGGACGAAGACCGGCTTTTCGGCCTTCTTTGGATCTACTTTATGACCTTTTGTTCCCTTTGCCACTCGCATCAGAAACGTTCCTCTGACGGCCGACACGGTCCACTACAAGCAATGGGTTTGCGCAATACCCCAGAGGCGAGGGGACGAAATGGAATCACCCTCTGGGTATCTTCTAAAACTTTTATTTTCCTGTATTAGTTTTTCTTCTTGCGAACGGGCTCGATGAAATGAATGTCTCTATCTTGCCGAGTTCCAGAAACAGTTCCAACCCCAAAGGGTGTGACCCTCGTGTATGCTTGACAGGAAATGCATATGAACATCGCATTTACATCCTTCGGCTCCAACGGGAGACCTTAATAAATATTTAATTAGGTTCTGTCTGTCTTTCATGGCACGGCTAGGGCAGCATCTTGCCAAGGATTACGGATCTGATTTTTTGTTCTCCCCCTTTCTTACACGCATGGTTCTCGAATCAGCATTCAATCTCCTTGCACAGTTGTCAGCGATTTGTTGATCTGTTGCATGTATCAATAAATGTTCTCATGTACCGAGTAGTGTTTGGAAACGTGCCGGAGGCAGTGATAAATACCCTTTGGAAGGGATACCTCTATGGTGAGGTCGGTTTACAGATCTCCCGCCTGGTAAAATAATAAATAGAATTTCAAGGTCTGGATCAACACGAGGACGGGAATACTCCATATACTCATGATGGAGACGATAACATTATCAGCTTCTGCGGTTGCTCGTACGGTCGTAAATCACAACTGGGGATAGAGAGACAATATAATCTCGTCAGGTATTTAGTTTTCGATTCTTCTGGACCAGGGTAAGAAGGATATCATCTCGTACATATTTCTCTTTCAAGATTGAATTTACTACCCGGCTCTCGTGCCTAAAGCTATGATACTTTTGAGGAAAAGAAAAGTGGTGGAATCTGACGAGGATCGTGGCATGATGTCGATCCATTGTTCCGACCGTCTGCAGACACGAGGAATTTGTTCTCTGTGGACACTGATTTATCTCTTTCTGTATCTCTCTTCTTTTGCGAGACGTATTTCCATTATGAGGGTGCAACGTCATCGCGAAGACATTTTGTAGCCCACTTCGCATGTATCCACAATCTGCACTCTTCGTGAATTTAGAAAAAGAGAGAAATGACGGGACTGTGCCTTTCTACGGGCACTTCTATGCGCAGCACGTCCCCACCGATTTCTGGATCGTATTTTCTCTGAACGAGAGAAAAGGTGGAGCCCCCTCAGATTGGGAGGGGGGGGGGTGTGTTACGAGGGGCTACACGTTTGTTGTCTACCGAGGTTCTGTTGTGTTTGGTCAATCACTTCGTGATAACGATAAACGTTTTTCCTTGTATTGCACAGACGCTTCGCCCGTTCTACTCGTCCTTGATCTAGGCTCGGGTTTCCTTATCTTCCCGTAGCCCCATGTATCGGATAGCCGGCAGTGACCCCCCCACTGTCCCGAACTATTCGCGGCATTCGATTTCACGACTCGGGTTTCACATCATTCAACTACCTTGTTGTTCTGCGACGTATTCTTTTCCCCTCAGGAAAACGATGGAGTATTGGAAATGAAAATGCAGACATTCGGGTCGAGGGAGGCGGCGGAAAAGGCGAGGATGCAAGGATTTCAGCTGTCCCAGCAACTGGAAGGCACGTTGTTTGTCCCATACTTCTCATCGGATTTATGAAATCATATCACGCGGATGAATGGAGGAGAAAATCCAAAACAGGGATTTCTCCTCACCATGGGTGGGCCGAAACGATCGTTCGCGTCTCTCTCCTCCACGCCCTCGTGCACTCCATATGCCAGTCCTTGTCCTACGAGTTTCTAAACTGGCCCCAAGATGATGTGGGATGCCCTAACAACATGAGCTATGGCTCCCCTGTCCGACTACTCGGCGCCTTACGATTAGCACTTCTATTCCCCCTAAAGATAATGTTAAGGAAAAGAGAAACGAGTTATGGTGGCTGGTTGCCAATAGGTGTCAGAGAGGGCGTACTCATGTCCGAGGAACTACTTTTCCCTTCGGATCACTTATGCAAAGATACTATCGAATTTTCTCGCAGAGGCCTAACCTCCTAAGATCCAGGACAAATAAAATCTATGGGATTCGGCTCGTATACATGCCACCCAGGTCCTAGGAGGCTATTTTTTCATTTATCGATGTGCGCTTATAGGCAATCGGACTTACTTTTGATCGTGTCTCATGGAATTTGCAGCCGAAAGAATGGAGAAGTGGGTTTCGCATTGGATGCAAGTGAACCGAGAGGGGAAATGCGAGCTCCCGCTTCGGAAGTGCGTCCGGGCTTGGGAAGGGGAAGGCTTCACCCTGAATGCGTCGACGGTGTTGGAGCCGCCGTGCGTGTTGCTTCATCGGTGCGACATGGACGCCGGCTGCTGCCGTTCGGGCCTCACTTGTGCGCCCAACCCCAAGTTCGGTCATCACCGCGTCCAACTCTACTTTTCGGTAAACGGTTCATCCGTCACGGTTTTCCCTTGCATGTGCTCATTTATTTATTTATTTTATTTTATTTATTTATTTATTTCGTTGTCGAAAATGTCATATCACATGTCACAGAGGAAGCCGGAGTGAACCACGTTCGTAAGTGATCTGGTTTAATGTAAGTCCAATAAGCGATTGGCGTGAACCGTTAACTTCGCGTAATTGATCGAGTGCAAAATGCCTTTTCCCTCTCTGATCAAAGGTTGTTTTGTTCGTCTACAGGTGCACGTGAAGGTCGGGTCTCGATTGGAGAGCCGGGGTGTACATAGCTTATGGTTTACGAATCACACCGCATGTGAATGCAGGGATCCGAAGTTGGACAGTATGCCCAGGGATGCTCCCAGCGCGGACATCTCTGCCTTGGAGCTTGAAAAAAGTCCGGATTCTGACGAGAAAAGCAAGGAAAATGGACGAGAGCGGCACTGTCACAGGTATCGGTCAAGGCCACTGTTATAATGCCTGTAATTGCCGTGAAGATGGAAATCATCAGGGTCTATCTTTCTGTCAGTCAGTCCAGCGATTACCGTAGGATGATGAAGGTCAGCTCCGGTTCGCATTATGCAGATAATGATTAGAAGACAGCAGGAAATAACTACACACATTCTCTCTCGCGCTCTTACTCCTCTCCGTTTTTTTTTTCTCTTTTCCTTCAGTTAATTTATGACGTTGGTAATTGCAGGATCTAGAAAGAGGATGAGCACTTGAGTGAGATTTATTCTTTATGGACACGAAAAGGCTTTTAAGACCGATTTGCGTGGGACGAAGTCCACTTCTCCACTCAAATACGAAAGTCAAATACGACCATCCTCCGGCCGGACGCCCAATTTGTGACAGAAGGAATTTTGTTGGATGTTCCAGGAGGTTGAGATGCCCTAGTGACTTTGCAGAACGCGTAACGGAGTCTCGGAGCACGTGCGATTGCTTCCACAATCACAGGCCTTGCCTGAAGAAGAAACGAGGACGGCACCGACTTTCTTCTCAAGATCGCAAGTAAGGGTCCAGGGATGTTCTTACGTTAAGGAACAAATTTGGGATTTGAGCTTCGTCGTCGATTCTAAGATCGTTCGCAGCAATGGAACAGGAAGAAATGGGAGGGGAAAAGAGGGAATAAGAGGCTATTTCCGTCAAAGAAAGCTTTGACCTTGTATCTCAATGATTTACACGTTCCTCTGGCGAACGATCACATCAGCCCTAGTTGCTATTCACGACGTGATGCATGAGACAGAACTCACGGCGCCTAATCGGTCTTTCAGGCCTTTTTCTTTTTCCGGCTACCTGAAGGGTGGTCTTTTTTTTTTACCCCCTCGGAGAACATGGAACACGCCTTAATCCTATTTCCAACGTCTGTCTCACGTGCTTCCTTCTCTGAAAAGTACGGGACCGGCCATAAAAGGCCCGGGGGAAATCGGTCACGATGGATTTACTGCCCTTTGATGACATTTTGTTTGTTACCGAGCCCCACGGGGCTCGTGCCGCGCTCATGATTATCCTAGCTCGTCCGAACGCATCCTATTGTCATCTCTAATCTCCTTCTTATTGTAGGTGCATCGCCGAGGGGACATGTGCCGAGCCGGCTTGTCAGTACGGCGCATACGACAGCGATCAGGGGAAGTGCCCAAGGAAAGAAGAGCTCCACACTTACAAGTCCTAAGTCCTCCTGCAACATGTGATAATGCTCTTTTTGTACAAATCTAAGCTCCGAATGATTCATGGAGACCTGGATGACACAAAATAAACGATCGGAAGAAGAAATCGTGAACCCACATTAAATCTCTTCCCTCTTCGCATCGGAATGAACGAACAATGGAATGAATGAAGACATGCTTCGGGAAGAATGCAAAGAGTCATTTTTATCGCACAAGAAGAAATGTCTCCTTTTTTTTCCATCTTCATATGAATGAAAACATTTTAAAAAACAATTCTTTTCGCTTGTGAACCGAGTCGGGGGGACGAGAGCGGAAGAAGTGGGTGGGAGAAAATTACGTTCTTCGTTCCACCAGCTTCAGGAAACTTGGAGCGCCTATGAATGCATGAGGGAATGAATGAATTGATAATTCGATGCTTTTTTGCATTCATCTGCGAAACGTTGCAAAACGGTTGGACTTCCAGTAGACAACCTGTATAAGTCGATAAGGAGCTTTCTTGCCGTCTGGTCCTGTGCGAAAATGGGTCTTCAGGATTCGATCATGATTTCACATCAGCAATTTTCTTGAGTGAATTGCAGCTTCCTTGCTCTGTGAGATGTTCCCATCATCCCCTATTCAGATTGGCTTTCGATAAGGAATTGATAAGACGCGACCTCACGTCATATGGAGGCATATGGACTACGTCGGCCAATTTGACTGCTTAATGAATTTTTTAGTGACTGCATATACAGGATTTCGTATTATTATCCTTCATATTGTGTAATAATTTTAAGCTAAGGTGACCAGATATTTTTCAGGAAAACCAGGACATTTTCACGAAAATGCGCAAATGATAGTCCTTGCAGTGTGAAAAAGCTGGGACACCAGAAATGGAAAGGAAAATTCAAACCGGGACATAGCCAGAAAAATCAGGACGTCTGGTCACTCTATTTTAAGGGGAGACTTTGAGCAAAAATAAAAAATAAAAATTGAGATGCTTTACAGAAAGTAAAAATCGTTGGTACCATTGAAAAGCTTGTATTCCAAAGATCTAACAACATAATTTTTGCATCAAGCTCCAGCGGTTCCTGAGATATTCTCGAAAAGCCTAAAATGTTAGTACATCTGGCATTTCCCAAGCCACCGCTAAAAAAATGAACAAAATTTCTTCAAATTCATAGGACTCCATGATAAAAACATACAGCTACAGATTGTTGGGAGCAAAAAAGTGAATTTTCTAATTTTTCCATACAAATATGAACAATTTCTGTCATGTTACTTGAACATTTCATGCATTTGCCTCTTAGCTATTACTTCAGTCATAATAAAAATAATCAAAACCGGTCCCAACACATTCCAGGTTTGTCATTTCTGAGTGCCTTCGCAAAATATCAGGTTTCTGGCACCAATATTGTAGGAGTAATTTTGGAAGTAGTCATTGTATGCAATATGTGTATATGTGTACTGCAAATTTTTAAATTATCAATGACCTTTATTTACAAGACATGCCCTTTACAAAAGAAGGATATGAGGTAATACGAGGTAAGATATGCAGATAGGTGAATAGAAAGGATGGTCGGTTGCGGTGTTAGTTGGTTCTTGCAGTTGTTAGGGGAAGAAAGATCAGGGGATGTGTGGGTCCACGGCCAGCCACCAGGTGGTGTTGTCGGGCCAGGGATTTTTTGCTCAGTCTCCCCTCAAGCTTATGTGAACTATTGGATTAGAGAGACATCTTCAGTGGAAAGGAACATGTCCATCTTTACTGGCCTGTCTTTAGAGGGAGAGGTCCGACAATGTGGCTACCTCCACTCCTTCCGTCATGGTGCTTACCCTGCACCACGTTTTCTGTATTGCAACCTTGTATCCTTGCAGACTCTAGACGTCTGAACATGCGTCAGTTATTGGGTAGGTCTAGGATGAGTGTGTGAGCCGAATCCTAGGCTTTAGGAGACGTGCATTTTCAATTCAAGCAATCTGCGTTGTATTGTTGAAGGCCCAGGCTATGGAATGGTTAAGGCAAAGTACACTGCCTCTTGCGCAGAATGGTTAAGGCCGGATTTATGCAGTTTTTCACTTTAGTCAGACACGTATTCCCGTGACATTTGACAGTCTATGCTCTATAGCATGCTGAATTGAATACAGGTCTTTGCTCTTTTTTTGCAAATGAAGCAGAAGATGTAATTCAACGTTAAAGGTTAGGATAGGGACACGGGTATATTTGCCCTTTATAACGTCCCATGTCAAGGTCAAGCATTCATCTAACATAGGATGGGCCAACCCCACTTAAAGGTAAATATTTTATGGAAGCATATTAACCTCCCTAGTAGCATTGCTCCCTTATTTTGTTTTGTCCATGAAAGGATCTAACTTCGTAAAACTATTCATGGTAGGGGCAGCCATAAGCATTGCAGATGCAGTGTATCTGCTGTATAGTTGAAGCATTTTGCATGCAGTAGACTCTCAAGGGCTTAGAAGAAAATGATCTTCAGATGAGTTTCACTGCAGATAATGATAAATGGGATTTGCAAATGGGGGTGCATCAAGTTATTCCACTCTCTATAGGGGTGTTGCCCACATATCCAATCCCTGAAACTTCTGCATATTTCACTTGGTGCCTTACTCCTTTGGAGGGTAATAAAATCACACTTCATTTAATCAACTCAGCTGGCAGGTGGGTGCTAATCTGCTTTTATGGAGGCCCTCCAGGAGGCAGGAGAAATCATTGTACTAGGATTCAGGATATCACTATACATTATAGCAGGGGTGTCAAACATATGGCCTGCGGAGGTGGTTCATCCTGGAGGTGGTCTGTTTTTGAAATTTCTGCTTGGATTGACTGTTAGCACAAATTTTTGGGGAAAATTATAGGTATGGCCCACAGGCATCTGAAGGGTAAGGAATGTGGCCCACTGACCGATTTGAGTTTGAGATCCCTGCATTAGAGAGGGGGGAGGGGGGGGGAAAGCCTACTGTAGGCCTAACTTGTATGATCTCTATAGTTGGCCTATATATATAAATATATATATATTTAATCCAAGGGGCATGGTAACTGATCACAAAGTTAGTTAGTCTGTTCTTTTTGCACCAACTCTTTGGTATTGTAATTCATCATCTGCCCAGGGTACTCCACTTGGGGAGATAATACAAGAATGAAGGGATGGGACTGGAGTGTCTATGGTTTGCATGGGGAAAGTCAGTGAGCACAAAATGCACTCTTTTTACAACCCTTTTGTTGTCACTCGTATGCAATGCTCAGTGAGTGAAGGAATGAGGCCGACTGGGTATACCCATTCCCCTTTGTTCCCTCATAGGCCTAGATTTATAGGACTGGGTGAGAGTATAGATGAAGCAGATGCAGGAAATATTGCGAACAAAGATGTTGAGGCATATGGATGAAATATAATGCACTTCTAGGCTAAGCTAAGTCCAGGCCATGACAATTGCACTGTGACCATTGCACATTTAGTTTGGCATTCAAGAGTATTGTTAAATTTTGCTTCCCCATTTCACTATTAATGTGCCTTGGATTTTTATGCTGAACAAGATGAAATGAAGTGGTGATAGAAGTCAGAGGGGTAATGAATGTATACACTGAAAAACATGCTGGAACATAATTCTGTTTGAAAAACCTGTAATTGGTTCAGAATATCATTCTCTACTTTAGAGGGCTGACTACTACATCAAAGGAGCATATGCATGCTAAGTTATTTAAGTTAACAGTATCTGTTCACTGGTTCTAGAGATACAGGAAATAATGCAGAGTGAAACAGCCCTAAGGCAGTGCAGCCAGAACTTTACTGGTGCATACCTTGAAATTCAGTTGTGTGCCTCATACACAATGGCTGACATGACATGCATATGACCATAAGTGCATTGTTCTTGCCTGTTTCACTCTTGGAGGAGGTGCTCAAAGCACCCATTGTCAATCTGCATGCAAGCATGTGAAGTTGGTCAAAATTCAGACACTGCACTGTCTGCTCTCTCCTGCAACAGGAAAATGATGGTTTCCCTCTTGCTTGTGCTGGGTGTGGCCAACTGCACTAGTCTGCTGCAACCTTGCTTAGAATAAGCTGCTGCACTTGAAAATGCATGATATAGGATAGTTCTCTGTTCAAAAATCCACCCATACAAAAAATAAGTGAAAGCCTTAGACTGGAATGATTTATGTGTGTGAAGAAGTTAACACTGCATGCTGCATGTTCAAAGCTAAACTTAGATCGCTATATAATATAGATTTTCAAGCTGCAATAAATAGGCATAAGAAAATAATGAAAAATCCATGAATTACTAAAGGAATACTAAAGTCGTGCAGTGACAGACAATATGAATGGAAAAAGCAACCTAGCAATCAGCAAATAAACAGAAGCCTAAAAATTACTGGAAAATTTTCAGCAAAATCAAAAGATGGGCTAAAGCCAAGGCCCTTTAGAGTAAGGAGGCATTGCAGTAACATTGTTTAGAGATATAGTCCTACTAGAGGTAATATGAGAAAAAGAACTCCACTGATTGCTTTCTGCAAAGTTCCAAAACATCCAAGCACATGAATGAAGTCAGTTCTAATCATCTTCCAGAGCTAAGAACAGGAGCACTGGAATCAAGTTCTTTCAGAGCTCCTGTTCTTTTGGGCTGAAAATCCAATAAAAATTCAGATAGATTGGTTAAGGGGTCTCAAAAAGCTGTAATTCTCAATTTATAGTTTTGGCCCTTGCCAAGAGTCTTTACCTTTGTATGGGAGCACATTTAGAAAGTCTCTAAAAATAATGTTGCTCTCATTTGTGCCCAAAAGAAATTAAAAAAAAATTCCTGGATTCATCTGTTACCACAAGGCTGGAAGAGGATATGCTCACCTGCTCAATTGTTTTGAAAAACATGAGCTTACATTCCTAACCATGGGTGCATACAGAGGGAAGCTTTGAGCCTTTTCCAATCTTGGTTTTCCTGAGAAAATTTTCTTTATCCATCCCCATTTGGGAGAACTTCAAATTTTTGACATTTTTAATAACATTCTTACTAGACAGGTCAAGAGTGTGGGGAGCCAAAGCTCCCCCTAAACCTCCCTCCCCCTGTGAATACCTATGTTGCTGACACAGTGACACTTGGTATGAACATCAAATAATGAACCTGGCATTAGGAAGGTCTACTGAAAGTTAGGATCTTCCTTGAACTGTTTGATCTATCCAGTTCTGATGGGCATGCTTTTCTGTCTTAGGTTTCGTATGCAAATATTGGATGCATTCATTCAGATATAGAAATTCTTGTAGGCTATAACAAGCATGTGTTTTGCCTGCATGCCAAGTTTTCCTTTTTCTTTCTCCTATATGTAGGATCTGTTCCTCATGTTTGCCTTCTTTGCAAGGCATCCTGCAGGATCTCTGTTGCCATTTCCACTTCATTATTCTACTTATATAAGTTACATAAGGTGAATGAATTCATGATTGTGTAGAAGCTTCAGCGTGAGCATGTTATATTATTGTTGAATATTCTGTTCAAAAATAATGATCACCTGTTACGACTTTTATAAGTTCAACTCATCACATGTGCCAAGGAACCTGGAGGGATATTTAAAACATAGTGCTTATTTAATTGTGGTTATCTTATTTCTATTCCTGCTATGCCTTGCCTCTTGGTAAAAATGAGGCTAGTGCATTGCTGAATGCCCAAACAGATCATTAACTCACCTGGGAATTGTGAAGATCTGGTTGGCATCTGTTGTACCATTAGATCTTACAAGGAAGAAGGGCATATTTCTATGGTGGTGATGATTGAGGCAAAATTGAGATCTGGATACCACTACAGAAGCAGATAGTAGTTGACTTGATATAGATTTATTGGGTGGCACAACAAATACCATGTCCTGATTGATGCCTTATGCAACCAACTGTAAGAATGATAGGCTAGTAATTTTTCTGTATTACATTGGAAACACTACAAAATTTATATCCTGATAGTTTCAAGTGTCTAAGATGTCTGGATAAGAAGTATTAGCAATTCAAAGTGCAATAATAAAGTGTAAGTTTTACACACTTGAGATGGATGCAGTCATAGCACTGCTCATGAGATTTCCTCTCCTTGGATGATATAGAGGCTGTTTTTTTAAGTTGTGCTCTGGTCATAATATTTTTGATGGTGCACATTGAGAATGAGTACTGGAGAGGGAAGAGAACAGTGAGTGTCCTATCAAATTGTGGGCTCTGTTCTATGGAGTCTCTTCCCTCTCTAGCATTCCTTTTAAAACACCTCTTCAATGTAGTGACTCTTACTTTGAAAAATATGCCATGATGACACTACACTGTCAAGAACATCGCATTAAAAATGCAGTCACAGGAAGCAGGCTTTTGATGGCAAATGTGACTCATTTGTATGGCTCTGATGAAACCACGGCTTCCAATATGTGGAAAAGGGAAATTTTCTTTTTGAAGTTTCCATTACTGTTACTCTTAACCCAAATGACCTAGATACTTCAAAACTTTCATTAAATAAATTTTAGTGCCTTCTATATCAATGGTTCTCAACCTTTTTGATCCCACAGCCCACCTTAACAACTGCAAAGTGATCCGAAGCCTGGCTTGAAAGCTATATACATTTTTTGTCTTTATTTTAGTGAGAACATTATACTTGAACGTCGCGCACTACTTAGTTGCATCTTGGCTGGATGTTGGATATGGCCACACGAAGGGTTGCTGTTACAAGTCGTATTTTGGCCTTCGTCATGACGGAAAAGGCAGACTCTCAGATACGTTGACAGGAAAGGCAAAATCACTTGATAGCTTTCTCACTCAATTTTGAATATTCTTTGCTCCTCTTCAGCCAAAACGTCGGTAGTGATAAATTGTAAATGTATTCTTTCAGGGCCCGATTGCTGGTGAGTTCAATGAGATTGTACCTCCTCCAGTGCAGGCAACTTGTTTTCTAGATTCTCACAGTAGGTTATCGCGTCGACTACCCACGTGTAGCCCGTTCGTGGATCGTCTTCAGATGGAAAGTAATATTTGAATTTCTGAAGAAGCTTTTAAGTTTTCTGCAATGATATTCACGACGCCCTTTTTCTTGAATTTCGTGTTGCCGGAAAGGTCATAGAAACATGCGAACCTATCGAAAGTATTCGCGTTGTATCTTTGCTGCCACACTTGTAGCTTTTCTTGGTCTCAATTTTTTATCCATCCTGAACAAGGAAGTCATAGGACCCTGTTGCTGCAAGTTCAGCTCCTTTAATAATCTAAACATGTTCGCCAAGTATGCAAGCTTGGCAAGCCACTCGTGATCAAGTAAGTCTGCGTACGAATATTTTTTCTGTTGCAGGAAAATCTTGATTTTGTCGCGGAGTTTGTAAACACGAGCCAATACTTTCCCGCGTGGCAGCCATCGGGCTTCCGTATGCAGCAGATTTGATTTTTCAGCGCCAAGGTCATTGCCAAGTGTCTGAAACAGGAACGAGTTCAGTGGATGAACCTTAATAAGGTTCATAATCTTCACAGTCGGTTAACACTGTTGAGTTCCAAAGACATTTCTTTACTGGCTAGCATCTCACGGTGGATGATACAGGGTGACATGCACCAGATTCGTTCAACTTTAAACTGATTAGTTTACGTAATGGGCGTCTATGAGAATACGTTTATCTCTGTTAAACTGATTCCCGTAGGGGACCATTGTGAGAACAGATTAGTTTATCTTAAACAGATCCGGTGCATATCACACCAGACTGTGAACCTGTCATGGCAGCAGCTCCATCGGCGGAGACGCCTACAACACATTTCCAGTCCATATTGTTTTCCGCAACATAGTTGTTCAGGAGACGAAAGATCTCTGCGCCTATCGTTCGAGTCGGTATGCTTGAAATCATCATGCAATTTAAGCATTTCTGTCCTGTGCACATAGCGCACGGAGGCAATAAAAACTGCTGCATTATAAATGTCTGTGGATTCGTCCAACTGCACTGAAAACCACTTTGATTGAGTCACAATTGATTCAATGTCATTCAAGATGCTGTCAATGCGGTGAGCAACAGTATCATTAGACGGGATGTTATACGTTCTTTCTTGAACGCTTCCTCGCCGAGAACTTCTCTGCACGCGTCAATGATAGCGGGTTTTGCGAGTTCTTCGCCGATCGTGAATGGTTTCTTGCATTTTGTGATTCTGTAAGAGATCAAGTAAGAGGCACGTAAAGCAGCAGCACCGATGTTAGTTGCAGCAAGATATGCTTCTGCCGCGTCTTCATTTCATTTGGTCGACGTTCGGAGAATTCGAACGGCTTGTCCTTCAGAGACGCGTATATAGTTTCCAGGTGACACTTAAGGTCGGTTGGTTTCATTGCTTCGTTGCTAAGAGTTTCACCGCAAACAACACACAGTGAAAGAGGCGCTTCGTCACGACCAGTTTTTGTTAAGCCAAGTTTTAAGTAGCTGTCATATTTTTTGTTGGGCGCACTTTTTTTGTCGTCAGCTGAGTTGGTTTGTGTCCCAATTCTGTCACTGTCACTTCCGGAGTCCGTTTGTCGTAGAGGTGATGCAAGTTCATGAGGCTCCTTTGTCATAGTTTTCGTGAAGCCAAATCTGTTGAGTCCTTGCTTTTTCATGGTCCCATTAATTAATAATTACGCCCCAGGACACACAAAGAATACTGATAAAACTTCAATTTCAATGCAAACACACTGTCTGAGCAGCCACTTTCACAAAAGCCACCTCATACAGTGTTGCCACCGTCTGTATAGGGCCTGGACAGGGACCTCGCATTTAGCATAGGGAAGAGCATGGTCTATTCTGCCCAAATTTGCTACGCCGACATGACTTGTTTTATGGTAGCTCATTAATATGGTGGCGTCACCCCCGTTCGAAACTTCGGAAAGGGGCTTTGAGGTTGTAGTTGCGGACTTAGGTCTAAACAGGCAATCAATTTAAATCTCTAAAATCATTCATACGTGATGCCTCTCCCCTACCCCTGGGATCCTCACATGCCACTGTCTGAGGAGGGGTCAAAGGGGGAGTCACCCTCTTCCCTCAGAGGAAGACAGGTGACATTTAACGACATCTTTGAAGATTAAAAGTGTGGTACAGTTGGACCGGATAAATTGTAAACATTGTCACCACCAGACGGCGAGATAGGGACAGAAACCCAAGCACACAGGCAACCAGGACGAAAGTAACCAGTAATGATCTTACGCACTCTGTACTATTCAAAGTAGCTTTTTATATTTTGATTTACTGATACTTGACACGGCCCACCGGTTGAGAACCACTGTTCTATATGATACAAAAAATAGATAAATCTAGCATTTCCACAGGTTTTATAAAGCCTCAAACAGGATGTGGTTTGTTTGTGCCACCCAGTGTAATAGTAGGTGTAACCTTATTAGCTATTATATATGACTTTATTCTAGCATACATTTTGAGGCTAACTTAGACTTGTTCTTAGATTCATCTGAAACTAGCATGATGACAAATTTTGGGAAGCGTTTGAATGGAGAAATCAGGAGAGCCAATCAAGTTTTGACTCCTCTTCAGCTGAAGAAACTTTCTGAACACAAGTATAACTGTGATAGTAAAAGCCTTCTGGATCCCTTTCTGCAGCCTTACTGGAACTGGCTTGTGAAGCAGGTCCCAGTATGGATGGCACCAAACTTCATCACAATTTCTGGTCTCCTTGTAAATGTTGTGACCTCCCTTATCCTCTTCTTCTACAGTCCAGATGGAGTTCACCCAGTGAGTTTTTTTTTATTATAAAGATTTTGTGAGTGATTTCTTCTTTTTTTTTTCAGGTCTTAGGATATACAAATTGTACAAATCAGCATCAGTGCCTATTCTAAATGGCTCGCTGACCAGCTAATTCAAAACCCATCAATTCACCAGTCCATCCAGCCATTTTTCCATCCATCCATGAATCTCCATTTTTTTATTTCCTTGAAAATCACAAGACTATGATGATACTTTAATGATCCATTCAGAGACAGGAGAATTCATGATCCACACAGGCTGTGTGTGGTCTCTACCATACTGATAATTCTGATGACCCAGATGGCTCACTTCTGAGGGTATTTTCAGTCAATTTAGCTGGTTGATGGACAGTGATAAAGGGCCTCATGCCTGAGTGGGCATCAAAGTTGTCATGACCTTCTCCAGGCCTGTGAATATGGGATACATAGTGATAGAGAGTGAAGGCATGGCGATGCTGTCAGGGATATATAATTTGGATACCCCTTCCTCTACTGTGTGGTCAGCTGCTTGTGGCATTAGTCCTTGTCTGTCTGTATTCATCCTATTTCACATCTTGGTATTTAAAAAAATTAAATAAATTCCATTTACCCATTTCAGATGAAGTTTCTAGTAATAAATTTCCATTGCCTTATTGCTTTTTAAATATATTTTTTACATATCATCTCAGTTTAGGTGTTTAATGTGGTGTTTTTCTCAGTATATTTGGTGTTTGATTATTAACTCAGTAACTTGAAATGTATACATATCTCATAAGTAGCAGATGGGAAAGCAGGGTTGGCAAGCGTACTTTTTTAAAATAATAATTTCTTTAAATATTTTTTCATATATCTTTTGCTAAGCTCTTTTCTTGGCAGCATCCACATTGTCCATTGTTTGAATGGGTTCTGAGATCTGATAAACAGTGTGTACATGTACATCATGTTGGCCTATTTAAAAAAAAGCCCTGGCCCTGCCATTTCTCATGCTTACTGCTGATTTTGCCCTGTCTGATTTTTTTTGGCCATTTACTGCCTTTGGTCCCAGACCCTCCCATTGATGCTATTAAAAGACTTAGTCCCAGTCAGATACTCCTGATTGCTCCTAGTCTCATGGGAAAAAGAGTACTAATATTAAGGGAGACCATAGTCACACAATAACAGGATCAATGTCCCAAAGAGCAGGATTAACTTTTACAGGATATGCCAAAGAAACTTATGTTTTGCAATTTCTGGAGAATGGCAACCAATTTTTATGATACTGTTATGAGTGAATGAGAATGGACTCTTGAGTGGTGAACAGGAGAGTCTAGGTCAAACTTGACCCTTTCCACACATGGGTGTTTGCCCAGCTGCATTCCTTCTCACCTGATTTGCCTCTGTCCCTGGTAAGGGCACAGGGCTGGTAGACCTTCCACCACTCATAGAGAGGGGAAAGGCATCCAGGAATCACATTCATAATGCTAGCATTCCCCAATCCTCATTCCCTAGATAAAAATGGAATGTATTTTGAAAAAAAAAATATCATGATTGTCCTTTTTTTTAATAGAGAGGCTGGCTTTTAATGAAAGAAGGCCTAATATATTGTGTTCTCTTCTGCATAGAAATGGTATAATAGTAATTGGAATATTACAACCCTGTCAACAAAATAATGTCACATTTATAGGTGGATTGTTCCATTGTCTGTCCATGCTGACTGGTTCTAAATACAGGCTTGAATACACTGCTGTTTAAGATCTTGTCATCCTGTTTTTTTATGAAGAATAAAAATAATGAATATATCTCCATCCTATGGATCTCACATAAATTTAGGGTGATTTAAAAAAACCTGACCAGTTTCTCTGGAAGAAAGTAATATTTGTATATTCAAGCAAAAATGATAAGATTGATATTGGACATTTACAAGGTGTTGAAATGAGAAGAATTCTCTGGGCCATGCATTGTCCTGTTATAAGGTTTACAGGTGGATCATTAAACCTTAAGTAATGGTCTGTGCTTCGTCTCAAATTTGAATTGAAGTAGTTTGCCCAATTTTGGCCTTTAAACTGATTTTAGTGATAGGTATATGTTTCGATAGGTTGCTCTTAGACAAACCTAAAAACAAAATTTTTTTTTCAAATCTGAGCAATTTTTAAACAAATGTAACCAAACAAAGTCAGATTGTTCCAAGTCACCATCCAATTTTCTTTGACATATATAATTTCAATGTGCTCAGTGCAACTGACATTTGGTGTAGAGGCTCATGGCCTGATAAGATTTTTTTTTTCCTACCTAAAAAGTGGTGTTGAGTGTAGATAGGGGATGCTGTAGTAGACTACAGTTCCCTCTATCGGTATGCAATGCCATCTTGTGGTATGTGAAAAAGCCTCTTCGCATCTCATGAACCTCTCTGTCAGGTATCAACTGCACCCAACTTTCCCTTGTAAAGTTATGGCCAATCAAATTAGGGTGGTGACTTTGTGACTTTATAATAATTGTATAGTTAGGAAGTTAGCATCTGGTGGTTGGGGGCCATGTTGCACCCCTATGACAAAATTAAAGCACTATTTTCTGCCTCTGCTTGAAGTACAGGACCTATGCTTTTTGTCTGTTGGCTATTCTCAAAATATTCTCACCATTAGCCAAATTCAATTGAATTCTGAGATGATTGTGCACAGATCATTAGCTCACCTAAGGCTGAATGATCTACCTCTAAACAGTGTAAATGGGCATTGCATGACTTAGACAGGTGCTGAAAAGAAACTGACATTCATCTCACCTTTGGTATCTGTCCAGTGTGGATCACATAGCCAATATTCAGGATGTCCCTAAAAACTTACACATTTGAAATTCAATATCTCTAGAACAGAAAGGCATAGGACAGTGAAATTTTAGGGGGATACTCAGAAGGTCATGGGATTTTATTTGAGACTGTTTTGCAAAAGGTTTTTTACTTTTTATTATTTTTTCCATGTTTGCACTCATATTGAACCACTACTGAGAGTATGTAATAATTTTCGGTCATAGATAGAATAGTCATGACTTTGGCTAAGAAGCAGAGAGACAAACTAATAAAGATTTTCTTACACTAACAAGGCAACAAGTTCAAGGGGATGGGTTGTGTTTGCAACAAGCCACAAGGAGGCAAACTGTGAACCCCTGTAGATGTTGTCGCTGAATTGCGATTGATGAAGAGCTTACCACAAGTGTACATGGAATGAACAATCATTTGGACATGTTCTTGGACACATGTGTGGATACTTGTGTGGAAACATTTGTAAAGTTTGCCTTAGAACCTTGTGCATGGTTGAATGGGGAAGATCCAGAAGACAGGTGACAGCATGACTGCTGCTTGTTCCATGTGCACTTGTTCAAGGCTCTTTGTCAATTGCACCTCTGATTTCAACGACAACATCTACAGGGGTTCACTGCCTGCCTTCATGCAGCTTGTTACTAACGCAACCTGTCTCCTTGAACTTATAGACCAAATTCATCAGAACTTGTCTCGAGTAGGGCCCCAAACACAGGTTGTGTGCTGTGTAGCATTTTTGTAAGGCAACAATAGCATTACTATTGTTGGTGTTGAAAATCTTTATTAGCTTGCCTCTCTGCTTCTTAGTCAAAGTCATGAGTTCTCTACTGATGACCAAAAAGTATTACATACTTCCAGTGGTGGTTCAATGTTGCCAAGAGTGCAAATATTATTTTAAAAAAATAATAAATAAAATAAGTTTTTGCAAAACAGTCTCAAATAAAATCCCATGACCTGAGCATCCCCCTAAAATTTCACTGTCCTATGCCTTTCTGTTCCAGAGATATTGAAATTCAAAAGTGTAAGTTTTTTATAGACACCCTACATATATTTTTTGTATTTATAAAATTGCCTTTCTCCCATAGAGAAGAGTAGGGCATTTTAAAAAATCGCCCTATATATATATCTCATGGCATTACTCTTTTGAGTCATCCACATATAGTTTTACATGTATTTCCATTATATGAATACATACATGATCATGGATGGTGATAGTTACTCATGCATATTATCATTTATGATTTTTTTTATAGGTTGGTGTTAATGCAATTTACTATCCTATATTTATGTCTGACTCTTTAAAGCAAAAATTGTCCTTAATCACTTGCTGTTCTGTTTATCACTCAACCCCAAGAACATTCTTAACTTAGTCTTAGATCATTGTTTTTTCATCCAGCATTCCTACAAAAAGAGTCTATCTTGCCTTGTCATGATGGCTATTTTATCAGATATCATATGGCACAAAATATGAGGAAATATTTTTTTCTTATAGTTGGTTGTCTACAGTGAGTCTGTTTCCTCTGAGCCATCTGCATGTGGCATAGACCATACATCAACTTCAGTAATGTCTGCAGCATCTCTGAAATACAAATCATTTTTATTCTGTGCTTTTTTGGAATCATCTCATTTCCTCAAGCAGACCCCAAGAACCAGGCTAATGATGTTGTGTGAGTGCAGCTTCTGTTGTACTTATACAGCATCAGTCATATGGTACTTGGAGTCTTCCAACTCAGGCATTTGCCTTTTTAGCAATGCCACACAGTAATTTGGGGCAAGGTTGTGTTAAGCAGAATCCTTTAGGTTCATTGGTTTCAGTCCTACATTCAGACTCAATTTTTCAGGACTCACAGAATCCCTATTGTGAATAAAAACTGTATACTTCCCCCACTGCTAGTGTTCAGTGGTATATGACCATACCAGTTTTACTATCACCCGTGGTATGACTCTCCTAATAATATTTTATGAATTTTAGTCTTTTTGGGATTCTTGGGGCACATGTTCTGGAGTGTCAATGGATAAACAGCCCATCACCTTCACAGGTGTCTCCTGGTGTTGCCTACCATGTGAATTCTGTTTTCCCTCACCAAGCAATAGAACTAGGAACTTACTGGACATTTTACAATGTGTTGGCATTGTTACCTTCAGAGTGATTGAATAAGGGGGTTGGAAGTATGTCTTCTTTATGTTCTGCTGTCAACTCATGAAACACATGCTGCAGCCAGCAGGCATACTGTAGCTTTTAGCTACCATACATTATCATTGTATTCAGTGAATGAGTAAACTGACTTTGTATGATGTCCTGCTTGTGTACTCCATCTGAGATGGAATAATGTTGCTAAGAGGTACTCTAGCATCATGTATAGCACTCATACAAAATCTAATCCTGATGGAGAGTGCCACTTAGGTTGAAGGAACCATAAAACTTGAAAATTTGGATAGATTTGAGCTTTTTTGGGGAAAAATAGCAAAGATTGAGTTTTTTTTAAAAAGTGATTGAATATCAACCAGGAACAAATAAAATAGTATTTTTCTATTGCACAAAGGAAGGACAATATACAAGTGAGATTTCATCAACCTAAACTATGTTTCAAATTTCAGCTGTAAAAAAAATTATTTATGCTTTCTATTTTGAACCATTTCTGCTTTGTCTATTGGCCATATTGAACCTTCCCCCCTTATTTTACCTCAAGCCAAGTAAAAATGTTCTATTTTTATTTGCTAAGATAGCTAGAGAGTCTGGGAGTAAAAATAGGAACAGAATGCATCACAAAGAATGCACAGAATGCATCACAGAGGACTGGTTTTTGTATGACCCCATCATTTTGAAAAGGAGCCCCACTTATTAAGAGGTTCTTTTTATTTGACTTTGTTTGAGATGTTTCTGTATTCATGGATCAGTAGTCAGTTATCTCAAAGTGATATTTAAAAGCTTGTTAGGCATGTTGGTCAGTTTTTGTTAGGACCTGTGAACATTTTTGGAAAGTGGCATTGGTGCATAGACTTTGCTGGATGTTCCTTTGTTTGAGGAAGAAAAGGTATGACTGGATGTACTTTTTTTTTAGCCTCCTAGATGGGCATGCCTCCTGTGTGCAGCAGGTATATTCATCTACCAAAGCTTGGACGCTATAGATGGAAAGCAAGCTCGGAGAACTGGCTCTTCAAGTCCTCTTGGAGAGTTATTTGACCATGGTTGTGATGCTATCTCATCAGGTCAGTTTGTTGAGTTTCTCAATTATAGATATCAATCTTTGAAAGTACTAATTTTCAATGCATATGTTGTATTTATTGATTATAACTCAGATCTTCATCTCTCCTTTATTTTCAGTTTTCATATCAATAGCAGCTTGCATCGCAGTAAAGCTTGGTGAATATCCAGGCTGGATGTTCTTCCAGTGTTTTTCTGCCATGGCCCTTTTCTACTGTTCTCACTGGCAGACTTATGTCACAGGTAAGAGTATAACATAACATTGTGCCAAAATGAGAGATAAGCCTTCTGTATTTCAGAGTAAATGTTTGAATAGCCACCTCTGCAAGTTTTTCTGGAGCTTTGCTGTAACTTTGTGTCACAAGGTACCACATTGAATTTTATGAATGTCATTATGCAGTATTTCCCATTAGTAATTCTTTTTACGTTTTTTTCCTTTTACCATGAAAGTTACCACCCGCAAAACTCATATTTGACTTTGCTGTGCTGCATATCCAAAATTTGCACTTTTTTTCTTTCTCCCAGATTTCATTTTCATGTTATGATGCAGTGCTTACCAAGATCTGATAGCATGTGGTTATAGGTGGATTTGCTTTTTGTTCTTGTTTTAACAACTAATTGAACAGTTCTTTATCAAATCAAACTGCTGGCAATATTTGATAAAATGAAGTATTTCTGGACTTATCTTGCTTGGGGGTATGCATTTTAGTGGCATGAAGTATCAAACCAAGGTCATAGTACTAGCATGAAAGCTACTTTTTTAATTCTCCAACCATCTAATCACTAAGTCTTAATTGTACTCATCTTTGCACAAGGGAATGTCATTTTAGGACACCTAAGACTGAGACAGTATCAAAAATACTGAAGAAGTCATGACAATGGGACAAATCAACAAAGAATTTCTAGATGTCCTATGCCAAAAATACCTGGCCAAAATGTTATGTTAAAATGTATGTACCAGTATTGATGGACTTGGCTCACTCTGAGGGTGCACCTTTTTTTTGTTTTCTGTGCTGTTTCCTGGAATCTAGGTGACCAAAATTCTGCATAAAATTAACTTCTCTCAGTGAAAGTGTGTGGTGGATGAAATTGAGGAAGTACTGAAAATGCTGCAATGTACTCATTGAAAATTCAACATTCAGCTTTATGCCAAAACAGCTGGGTTTTGTTTTGACAAGTTTGACAGGCACTGTTGGTTTCACTTCATAGTTTTTCTGTTATGGATCATAAGTACTGCCAGGAGTACTAAATACAAATTTCACTGAAGTACTGAATTCATCAGACCATGTGAAATTTATACCTCATATTGCTTCATCTAAGCAGAAGAATCTGCCTTTTAGGAATGTTTCACAATTGCACAAGTACTTGAGGCAATGATGACAACTTGCATATGAAAATTCTGCAGGATGTTGTAACACTGGACCTACCTTGGCAGTATTGTTCAGAAGAACCTCCACTCAATAATTTATTTTGATCTGGCTTCAAATTCTGAAACACTGAATTCTTATTTCTTTTTTTTGTACCAAGTTAACATTGGTATCATCTGCACTTTATTGATGTATGCTTGATATCCAAACTGTAAATTGTTTTAACAAATCCTATTCATGGTACAATGGCAATAAGTTGATTCCTTGCTCTTTTCCTTTAAATCTATCAGACAATTTCAGCGACATCACCTGTGAAATATCAATTTATTGCAGGGAAGAGTTTTCGCTGGAAATTACCAGTATAATTTTCCAAGGAGAAGGAAATTACTGATCTAGTTTTACCATTTTGGGGTATTTCATCCCACTAAGGATTCACTGCTGCACCTTTACCACATTCATGAGGCAAAAGCCAATTTATTGAGCGCGGTTTCAAATTCGCGCGTTCAATGCTTTTGCCAATTAGTAAGTTTGGTCGTGCAGATCTCAAGTCTCTATTTTGCATTCAGGGTGCCCAAAAGGAGTGCAAGGACACCTTGCACATTGCATTACCGTAAGGAGTTACCGTATGCAGTTTCTCAAGGAATATGCTCACGAGTGTTGCCCATGAAAAGTGATATCATAATGAGTTCCATCTCGTAGGCAGCATTTATGTGCACGGATCACGGCTGCCCCCATCCCTGTGGCAAGGATTTTCTGGGAAACAGCTTCAAGATCATTCCTAACATTGTATTCCTGTACAGCCATTTTCCATGGTTTATATTTGTAAACTTGTTCATTGAAGTATCCCAAGAGTAATCTGTCAGGTTCAGTTAAGTCTGGGGATTTTGATGACCATGTGATTTCAACTAAACCGAAAATAAGGAGCTGGTATACAACAGTATCGGTGTGTTTTGGGCTTGATAACATACTCCATGCTGTGAGAAAAATAGGAGTCAAACAGAATTGCTGGGTACTGCTGTGCATACAATTGCTACCTGTGAGATGAAGGTATTAGGAAGGTGTTATTTTCTATGTTACAAGTGCATGAATACCCTTTAATGAATGTGTGATGTAACTCCTGGCTCTCAGAAGCGTAGCAAGCATATTAACTTTATTTCACTTGGCTTTGTTTTCTGGAAATGCAGAATTAAAAATCCGATGTTTATTTTGGGATACCCTGAATAAATCTAATATATAATTATTTTCACTGAAACCCTGCATGTTAAAAATTTTCCCACAAGAATGCAAGGTAATAATTTTGTTGATTATTCAGGTTGTTTTGTTGATTCATTGACACACGGTCACTCCTCTCACATTGTTTTCATTCAAATTGCTATTCTTCCCACAACCAAATCTATGCCCATCCTAATTCGATGCTGCAAATCCATCATTGCTTTCCAGTTAATTTGAGATGTAATAGACAATATTATTAGCATATTTTCCGGGGAGAAAAAAAAAAGGACCGTGACACCTGATATTCTTTACTTCGTTTTGTCCCAGTGTCAAAATACTTCATTCCATTTATTGCACCTACAAATATTAACTATTGTTTGTCAGACGCACTCTACCTAGAGCTCCTGAAGAATGGAGTTATAAATGAGAAGCTAAACTGAACTTCGGCCTGAGGTATGCCGTGTCTCCGACAATTGGCAGATCTATGTAAGTGGAGTACAACTATGAAGCCCTCTTTTGACATCTATTACAGTTTTCAACGCAAAATCTAGGCTCTCACGTTTACGGCTCTCGCCACCATTAGGAATCTTCTGCTTGTCACATCTCGTGCCCTCGAAGTATCGTAGGTTCATATGTGATAACGTCATGGGGAAGGTGAAGACAAGAGGGCGTTCGAGTGCATTTTCCTCTGTGATGCAATCCTTGAGTGATAAAAGCGAAACACATAGCTTAGGGAAAGCTGCTTTAATTTATTTTACCTCATTCATTTCTTCCAACACGCCATGCACCGAAAGGACTGGGTATAATTACAGGCACTCGTAGGACTACTCTACTCGGAATTCCGATCCTTTGCGATCGCATTTTTTTTTAACGATAGGTTCTTTTGGGGGGGTGGGGAGATGGATGAGGTTCACGTTGCCGACATGGTCGTGCGCGGTCAATGTATAGGGTAAAACAATTTAAGTTCGGACAGTACCTAGTTCGAACACTGCTGCGAACATTGTTACAAAACTAAGCATTCGCGAGGCCGTCTTCAGAAACAGTTCTTCCTAATATGAAATGAACACATTACTGAGCGAAGGACAACCCGTAGCCATGATGACTTCGTACGATTCCAAGATATTGAGTTTAGGCCAATTCTATGCGAACAGGGTGAATTCAAGAAACCGTAAGGAGAAAACCTTACTTTTAAACCGTTTCACACGTGACATTGTTGCTTTCTGTGCTCAATTCTTATTTCCCAGGAAACTAAGGGGACATGGAGTCCTGTTACGCAGAATGCACGTGCCTTGATCAGAATACTGCCTTACTTCCGGCGTGTCCGAACTTAGATCAGGAAATGTTTGAGAACCTTAAGTTCGGACATACGAGGTCTGGCAATAAAGTTCCAGGACTGATTTTTTTGTGAGTCTGTCAATATCGCAAAAATTATTTTCGTTCCATGGACTGATAGATTAGACTGTTGAGCAGTATCGTATCAGTCCTCATCTAACTAGAATCTTGAATGATAATTTGGCTGGCAATTTAACAACTCAGTGCGTTAGGCGTCTGTCATATTCCAAGAGTGAAGCAATGCTTCGTCACATTTTGTCTCAATCCGGGAATACAGCTCCAGCGATCCATCAAATGTTGCAAGTAATGTCTTGACAAGTTGTCTCATCATACTTCAAGAATCTTGAATAGTTTTCAAGGCTTTCAGCCAGTAGAAATGACATTGAAAATAATGACTGATTCAGCCATCCCTTGGGTGAATGGTTGGTGATGGTTAGGATTGAGGTGGATCTGAGGGTCTTCACTACTTGCTAAAGACCTTGAAGGCCATTCAAAATTATTGGAGCATAACAAGGAACTTTTCAAGACACTTCAGCAACATTTCATGTATTACTGCAGCTGTATTGATTGGTTTGAGACAAAATGCGATGAAGCATTGCTTCAGTCTGGGAATATGACAGACGCCTCACACACTGAGCTGCTACATTGCCAGCCAAACTCTCATTCAAGATGCTAGTCAGATGAGGGCTGACACAACATTGCTCAACAGTCTAATCTATCAGTCCATGGAATGAAAATAATTTTTGTGACATTGACAGACTCACAAAAAAATCAATCCTGGAACTTTATTGCCAGACTTTGTACATTCTCATGTGTCATATCTGTGTATAGATGTCCTCTCGAGAAAAAGAATGTTTTGGAGTTGACAAAAGCTCAGTTGAGTCATGCTTTTCAGGGAACGTGTATTTTGGAGCCCTGTCCGAACTTTCACTACGGAAAATGTAACTTCAGACACTGTCCAGCGCATATGTAAAAATACAACATAATATATTTATTTGCACACCTAAATGTGCAGCATGCCCTCAAAGCAGTGCAGTCATGGAGGGAGCTTGGAATGCAAGGTATTATCGACCTGAGTGTTGAAAAGGCCATCAGGGTTTTCAAATTGATTGAGATGTCCTTGCGGAAGACCAGCATTGCTTGTCTGCTAGAAAAATTTGCCCCTAGGAGTTGTACTTCTGAATTCGAGTGGGGATGTGTCCCTGAAGTTGGATGTTTTCTAAATTAAGCATGCTAAGAAATACTTGTGTGCCCAATGGATGAGCCTAACTCTTCACTAACGTTACAGAGAACCTGGCCTAGGCCTTCTGTATACATGGGATCATTAGGGTAGGCCAAGCGCTCCCGGTTTTCAATAGCCGATTGTCAGCTAAGCCTTTGATCGGCTTATTGTTTGGCCTATTTGTAAAGGGCTCAGGCAAAATTATGTCCATTGGACATAGAGGTACTTTAGGTCCACAGATCATTACCATGCTCGTGCAGGCATAATTTGAACGTTTTGGTACTCCTTTCAATCAATATCATTGCTTAAACCCTCTTTTCTTAACTAATTTGATTGAGCAAGTTTCCTTTCGTGTAGATTTAAATTCGAATTAATTTGTCTAAAGTATCGTCAATATCAAAGGATTAATGTATGCACAATTGAGCAGAAATTATGGAAAAAAGGATAGGAAAGTTGTCTTTGTGGGCAAAATCTGGACTCTAATTCACAAGCCTAGATGCAGGTTTATAGTTTAATCACCAGTGTGAAGGTCACAGGAGAGGGCTGAATCCAAGAGTGAGTTGTAGAAGGAAATTTAGCTGTTCAAAGAGAAAGAAATGGAATAGGATGAATTAAGAAAAATTCAACATCCAAGCATTCCAAAGGTGCATTGCATGACACCTTAGGTTATGTGGATGTTGAGATTTCTGATACCAAAAGTGATTAAGATGATTTTAAGCCCTATTATAGTGTGAATCCTTTTTTTTATGCAATGAAAAATGTCACTTGTTCCATTAGGTAAATTACTCATCATAGTTATTGAAATTCTTAGGTGAACTATAAAGCCCTTTTCAGGACTTTCTCCTATCAGAATTCAAAGTTTACATTGCATGCATCAATAGCCAAAAAAAGATAGCATAATTGCATTGTTCAAATGTGTGCATTTTGTAGGCAACATTGTTTTCAGATGATGCAGGAGTCTAAAGATCTGTGATTCAGGGAGAAAGACGTCTGACTTGACTATCAGTTCAATTTCTCTCTCAGAAAAAGTACAGTGTAGAAAGTTTGTCTGATGGACTTGAAGCATTTCCATTTTGTTTATATGGAAACAATTTACTTATTGAGACAGAGTGCATGTGAAGATGTCTAGCTTGGGCTCCATTGTAGTTCAGTGTCCACCTACTTGTGAAGTTTTGAAGAAACAGTGACTTTCATGGAGGGTGCAGTGGGATGGAGCAGCTCTTTGCAGCAGATTCTTGGAAACTAAACAATTTACTTATTGAGACAGAGTGCATGTGAAGATGTCTAGTTTGGGCTCCATCGTAGTTCAAAGTGTCCACCTACTTGTGAAGTTTTGAAGAAACAGTGACTTTCATGGAGGGTGCAGTGGGATGGAGCAGCTCTTTGCAGCAGATTCTTGGAAACATTAAGAGGGGATGTGGACAAGTTTTAGATACACCTTGTGGATCTTAAAATGTCTACAAGCATGAGCTTCTACGGAAGCTGTAGGGACTATTGGATTAATAGTGAGGTACTATGAACCATTCATTCCTGATGCAGAGACTGTAGGAGTTCTGTTCTAGTAGGGGTCTAGTAGAGGGATGAGTATAAGTTTCATCAGTATGTGCTGGGCTGTACTAAGGTTGCATTGTCTCTCCTTTCTTATTCCTTGCATACATGGGCAAGATTTGTATGTGTAACCAGGGTTGCAAGGGAGTCATCATCAGTGGTGCATCACCAACAAAATTACTTTTCGGAACACGTTTGGAATCGGTGACCACCCCTGGATTTTTTCGGGACCACCTGAGACTGATGTATAATGTTGCTCTGTAACGATTGGTGCTTGTGCTAATCAAGCGATGCGCTTATCTCTCTCATTTTGTGGCATTCCATGGTTTAACATTATTCTCTATGGAATTATTATTCTCTATCAATCTCTGGTGGTCTTGAAAATATCTGTACTTACGTAATCACTTCGGAGCTAGAGACTCAGACTAACGTTTCACCAGCTTTTTTGGGTTTTCACTAAACCCAAGCACACTCTAACCTCAGACCTGGCGATAAACACATACCCCGGGAGCCGCATTCCTTCTATGTTGGGCTGAAAGAGTGAGAAAGTCAACCTATTTTGGAGGATGATGGGTCAGTTGGGTTAGAAAAGGGTCGCGGCCGAAGGCCGCGATTATTTGGCCTTTGACACCAAGCCTGGGAGAAAATACTGGAGATCCACACACACTGTGCCACTGCAATGAAGGGTCTCGCTGGAATGACGAAGATCTGACCGGAAGTGCGTAGGAAAACGTGTCAGAGTCGGGTCAGTCCACGGGAGGACCGACCCCGAGCCAGTACAGCGCGCATGCCCAGGAAGGTCGTGGTATATGTTAGCAGACGCAGGGGCCTGGGCGGAGCGTGTAACATGACCGCTTCAGGCTGCCAAAGTGCCAGACGCTTTAAGAATTTGCAAAGTTCCCTGTGCGAAACAACGGGCATGCGAAGTAAAGCGAAATTGGGTGATGGTATCTAATATATAGACGATCGTGACTGACTGACTGACGCTAATTCTAACCTTGTTCTAGAAGGGTTAGAAATCTGAAACTTGGTACACATGTACCTNGCCCTTTTCAGGACTTTCTCCTATCAGAATTCAAAGTTTACATTGCATGCATCAATAGCCAAAAAAAGATAGCATAATTGCATTGTTCAAATGTGTGCATTTTGTAGGCAACATTGTTTTCAGATGATGCAGGAGTCTAAAGATCTGTGATTCAGGGAGAAAGACATCTGACTTGACTATCAGTTCAATTTCTCTCTCAGAAAAAGTACAGTGTAGAAAGTTTGTCTGATGGACTTGAAGCATTTCCATTTTGTTTATATGGAATCAATTTACTTATTGAGACAGAGTGCATG